AAACCAATGCAGAACTTGCGAGAGAGCATTATTCACATCGTCATAGTTGTTCTTGCGCCTGTCAACGTTAAATAATAAAGATGTGTAATACAATCTCACACAAATTTTTCACAAAAAATAGCAAATCATTTACATATTCTAGACACAGGAAGGGACCTAAAATTGAACCCTGGGAAACGCCCATTTCTACATGAGATCCAGATGATCTAACCATTACATAACCATTTACCTCTACAGTTTGTATTCTGGAACTGAGGTACGACTGTATCAATTTATATGCAGTACCTTTGACTCCAAAATGACTCAATTTCAATAACAGCGTGTGATGATCAACGCAATCAAAAGCTTTGGATAAGTCGCAGAACACTCCAAGGACATTTTGCAACCTCTCCCAAGCCTCCAATATACTCCTTACAAGTGCAACAGCCGCATCAGTAGTAGATCTACCTCTTGTAAAACCAAATTGTTTCCTATGGTTGGTTGAAATGAGGCATCAATTGTTCCAGAATAATTCTTTCAAATATTTTACTAAGAACCGGTAATATTGATATAGGCCTATAATTTCCAGGGTCATTTCTATTTGCTGATTTAAAAAGAGGTACTTCCGGATTTGATGAAATACTTTACTGTATTTCATCAAATCCGGAAATACTCCTTGATTAATACAGTTATTAAATATATCAACTAGATAAGGAACCATAACGGGTATTATACTTTTAATAACTTTAGTAGAAATACCCCATAAATCACTTGTACTTTTTTGTTTAAGAGAATTAAAACATTTAATAACATCAATGAATTAATATGTCTGAACTGAAACACGTTATCACACCTAGGTACATATTTCTCGAGCAATGTCTTGGCAGCCACCGATGAAGAACTCAAATTAGATGTAGCCACCAAAGGAATATTAACGAAATATTCATCAAAAATATTAGCGATATGTTCTTTAGATTGTATTAGAATGTTATTGGACTTTCTAATATCGTAACGTGTTGTTTCTTTGCATGTTTCACGATTTATAACATTCCACGTTGTTCCACAATTCATAAAGTGTATAATATATTATATTTATCCTTTTGATGTAAAGGTCAGTTTTATAAACACATTGTTTATCAATTTTAATATAACGGAATCAAAGATACAGTGACAGACAGAAAACTATTTATATTTTGTTTTATTTTTCTATCTATCGCATTAGCGTTCTGAGCTTTTTATATTTTAGAAAAAAAGAATGTCAAGTTTTAAACTTAACTTTTTAGTGGTAGTTTAAAAACAATTCTTTATTGTATCTATACAATCCAGAGCCTCCCGTGCTAAGTGTGGAGGCGGCGAGTGCAAATTCTGAAGCAGGCGCAGCGACCGGTGCCTGGGCGCACCTGACTTGTGTGACTCCCACGGAAGTGCAACACGCACTAGCGCGCTTGCCCCCTAAACGTTCAGCAGGGCCCGATGGCATTCCTTCGTTAATTTTTAGAGATTGCAGAGCAGTGTTAGTGGAACCATTGTTACATATTTTCAACTTATGTATCAAAAATGCAGTGTCCTGATCGCTGGAAACTCACAAGGGTAGTACCGGTGCCAAAAGGTAGTGGAGGATCGGCGGCTAGTGATTACAGACCAGTTGCGGTTTTATGCACTTCAGCTAAAGTATTCGAGTCGACTATTCATAGTAGCCTGTATCCGAAAATAAGTGCTTTGTTGTCAGACGCACAGCACGGTTTCCGTCCTGGGCGGGGGACAACAGGGAACTTGTTGAATCTTATGGCACACATAGTACCGACAGTAGATGCCGGTCACCAAGTTGATGTTGCCTACTTTGATTTTAGGAAGGCCTTTGATACTGTTGATAATGATGTCCTTTTATCAAAGTTGGCTAACGTAGGTTGCACACCGCACACGTTGTCATTTTTCGCCTCGTATCTACGAGACCGATGCCAATACGTGGATTGCAGCGGCAGGCTATCCGAACCCTATTTTACAAGATCAGGTGTAAGTCAAGGCAGTAATTTAGGACCTCTGCTATTTATTTTAATGATCAACGACTTGCCGAAAGTAGTCAAGATGTCTACACCATTGTTATTTGCTGATGACCTAAAATTAGTTCGCACAATAAAGGGATCCGGTCATGACTCTTTGCAACAGGATATAGATAGGGTAGTAGAGTGGAGTTTTAAAAATAAATTGTACTTCAACGTGGACAAATGTTCCGTATTATCATTTAGTCGAGCGCGTAGCCCGAGTCACCATCAGTACTACATGGACAGCATGCCACTGAAACGTGTATCCGAAGTGAAGGACTTAGGCGTGCGCTTCACTACCGATGTGAATTTTCAACAGCATATCGTAGAAGTTTGTAAGAAAGCTTACCGGAATTTGGGCTTAGTTTTACGTCAAGCGAACGAATTCACAAATCTCAGTGCAATAAAAGCTTTATACGAATCCCTCGTAAAAAGCCATTTAGAATGCAATGCTTTAGTCTGGTCGCCACAAGAAGCGAAATATAAATTAATGTTAGAACGCATCCAGCACAAATTCGTGAGATTTATTTTTTTGAAGCAGTATGGTGTGTATCCAGGCTTTCCACTTTTGTACCCTACTCTGTTCACACTAGGCATGACGGGTTATTTTAAATTAGAAGTAAGGAGGGAAGTGTCTCTGGCCACTTATTTATTCAAAGTGATTCGTGGTAAACTAAGGAACCCTAAGTTTTGTGTGCCCAACGAGTACGCGAGGCGACGGAGGCAGCCTCCCCTGTTGTGTGTGCCGCGCGCGCGCACTAACCTGCAGCACTGCGCTCCTAGTCGCGAATAGCGAATGTTATTGGTAATTCATAATAAGTATTGGCCACACTAAGTGTGCGCGAGCGAGACGGAGATACAAAGCGGGGAAGAAAAAGTTAGTACGGTGGGGGCACAGGGAACTGTAAGACGGAACGAAACTAATGTTTTTAGTGAGAGTATGTAAGTGACAACAACAAAGGTTTATGCAGTGAGCAGAAGGGTAAGAAACCCTACGAGATATCTGGTAAGAGATTATTAGTTACTAAGAAACACAAATAACTAACATTGCTGCGTTCCGGAGGCAAAGGGTGGTTGTAAGGGGAGAGGAGGAGACCATCTAAGGGACTTTGTCCCGCCTGGTCCGTCAGCTACTGCTATATATCTGAAGATGTCAGAAGTAGAAGTAGCTGGGCAATGAGGACAGGTTTTAAGTTACAAATTAATAATAAAAGTACACATACACATACACACATAACAACTTTCTTACTCTACAAACAATTATTCGTCTACCATGCACTTGTACGTTTAAAGAAAATTATTACATAACTTGGGCTTTAAATCGCGGTAATAAACATTAGTCCGCGACATGGTGGAGGTGCTGGGATACCTCGTTTTCGCGTGGACATGCATGCGTAATGTTTGTAAACAAACATTGTGCAAAGAAAACAAGACAGCTTGTGAGAAACTACAAAATGGCGGCAAATATGAAATCTACAATTTTTATAGTGTATTGGTTGAAATTGTATTAATTTCAGTAAAATTTTATGTAATAAAATATATGTATAATTTGTTTTTTATTTTCAATAAAGAAAATGTTTTGTTGTTTCATTTTAAAGATGTTCCTTTTATATATTAGCCTAGTCATTTTTTGGTCAGGCAGGATATGGTTTTAATAACTCGTGTGTTGGTATTATTAAATAGTGATGTAATCACTATAGCGACAACGATACATTTCATCGTTTTAATGTTCTGTATTGATATCATAAGAAAAATGATTGGATTTGAAGGCAAATCCAGAAGTTTAGTCACACTGAGAGGAGAATAATTTATGTCTCCCAGTGTAACGCATGCGTTGTATGTACTTTACAATTTCCACGCCAAAGAGAGCGCGTAGAAAAAATAAATAAATTGTACAGTACTGATTAGATTACACTGAGATATATGATTTAGATTTACACGTGATCGGTCTCCAAGATTTGAGCCGTAAGAAAAAGAGAATTAAGAACATGCAAAATATTTAAAAATATACTTGAGTCGTATTTTAGAGAAATGAATTTATCGAACATTTCATGTACGATGAACTCGCTCGTCACTAGTACATATCCCCAACCTTGTAAATTATACCACCGTATAGGCTGCTCCTCCTATTGGTTGATTGATTTGATACAAATATCACGGCCATTTTATTTTGTTTTGTTGTATTTCCATGTTGGATCCACGGACCTCAAGTAGATTTCGTGGAAAACATTAAACTAAGAAAGCTATTTGGTAGATTGAAAGAAGTACCTTTACGATACCAACTATAATTGTAAAAGAGAGTGGTGGCGACAGAATTTTATTACTGGAAATATCACTTTGTTTTGTGGTATAGGTACAAAGGAAAGCTTTTTATCGAAAAGCCGGTGAGTAGTAAATATGAATAATTTTATAAACTAAAGCTGTACATACTCAGAAAACAATCAGTTAATTCCAAGATCTCAATGTAAATAGGTATGCATATTACATGTTCAACCTTTACCTAACTATAAAGGGTTTTGTTTATTGCGTTACATCGTGTCCACATAGTTAAAAAAGTGGATACCAAATCTAAAAGTTTTTCTATAACAAGTTTACTGGTGGATTTCAGTTCTTAATAATTTGGGCGAGAGTGTTGGCGCAAACTGATATCCACAGACACCGGTACAGTGTTGATAACACTGAGGAGGCTTCTGTTACAAAACAAATTTTGTCAGATGACAAGAAAGTGAGTACTATAAATTAATTTGGTATAGCCACAACTTCATTGATTTATTTTTGTATACTTACCTATACAGGAGTAATTAGATTTTTATCAGTATCTTTAAAAATAATGAATGTTAAAGAATAACTTACCAGTTACTTATTAAAGGTAAACACTGGGTACATTAAATTTATAATTAACACAAATTAAAAGATGTACTTACATAAATATAAATAAACTATGTATACAAATTTCCAGTTGGAAACTCAAGACCTAATATGGAGCCCTGGAAAGTGCGTCTGGAAACTATTAAAGAAGAGGTGTTGAGCACTATAGAAGAATTTAAAATTTCCAATTGTAAAACTGCACAGGCAAGTCTGCAGTCACTGACTTCTCTTTTCATAGCCGAGACACGGGCATATATTGATAAATTGGGAAATGATGATTTCGTGGAATATACAAAACTACAAATGGATGCTCAACTGTTAACATTAGCTGTTACTCCTAATGTCAGTCAACCAGGTCAGTCAAGGTTGCCGAAACTGGAACTAGCAAAATTTAATGGTGATATTTTGAAGTGGAGTGAGTTTTGGGACCGGTTTTGTTCAAGTGTTGACACTCAACACATAAGTAATGCCGATAAGTTATCATATTTACAAGCAACACTATGTAAAGATGCCTTAGCGGCGATAGAAGGTTTAAACACCACTAATGATAATTATCCAGTGCCAGTAGACATTTTAAAGAATAGGTATGGGAAACCAGGCCTTGTCATTGATGCACACTATGAGGCACTTTTTAACATAAAAAAGGCAAATAGTAGTCCTAGAGATTGCCTAAACACCTTTAATGAAATAGAAAAACATCTACGTGTTTTAATGACTAAGGGTGAAGACATAAATCACAATAACCTCCGAACTGTTATACTAAACAAATTTCCAAATGAAATAATATACGAATTAAAAAAGAAAATAAATCCTGATGAGGAAAACGTAGAGACCATACGAAAGGAATTAGAAATTTTAATAATGGCCAAATCAACATACGAAGAAGTAATAACGGAACCATTTTCCACAGAGGTTTTACATGTACAAACAGCAACAAAAAATACCAAATATATAAAACGGAAGCCAGACAACAAGAAATATGGCTATGACCGAATTAAAAAACCTAAATTGTCATGCATATTCTGTAATCAAACCCACTATAATGATGAATGCAACAGGGTTTCATCATTATTAGATAGAAAGAAACAGCTGTATCGAAGGTGTTTTATATGTTTTAGAGACAACCACCAAGCGAAAAATTGTAAAGTAAAGAGGAAATGTGTTCACTGCGGTCAAGTGGGAAAACACAATCGAGCCATTTGTCCAACAAAATTCAAGGCTAATGTCCAGATGATGGATCCTGTGGCTCAAAAATAGATTTGCTAATAGGAAATGATTATTATTACTCTTTCATTAGAAATAAGAAATTACAGTTAGAAGAAAATTTATTTTTAGTGGACTCTGATTTTGGATGGCTTTATTCAGGTACAATGAATGGGAAGGCAGAAAAGAATGAGTCTTTAAGTATACTGACCTATTTTCAGTCATGCACATCAGACTTGTATCATTTCTCTCAACCTGACCAGATCATACAAGATAATAGTGTTACTGCGCTGTGGGAGCTAGAAGCCATTGGCATACGTGATTCTCCTAAGTCAACAAATGAAGAAGAAGCAATACGTCAATTTAATGCATCTATCATTTTTAAAGATGGAAGATATCAAGTTAAGTGGCCATGGGCCACGTCTCCTAATACACTACCAACTAATTATGGAATGGCTTTTGGTAGATTACAAAGTTTAATTAAGCGCACATCTATAAGTACATTGGTAAAATATGATGCTATACTCAAGGACCAAGAGCAACTTGGCATAATTGAAAGGGTTAATGATTATATGATACCACAAAACCATCCTGTACACTATCTACCTCACCATTATGTTACAAAGAAAGAGAGCAGCACACAGTTAAGAATAGTGTATGACGCTTCATCAAAACCTAATGGTATGTACCACAGTTTAAATGAATTGCTTTACAAAGGTCCTCTGTTACTGGAAGATTTAACAGCCTTGCTTCTGAGTTCAGGCAGTATGAAGTTGCTATAACTGCGGATATTGAAAAGGCGTTCCTACAGCTAGGTTTAGATGAGACAGATAGAGATGTCACAAGATTCCTTTGGATTCAAGATTACAGTCAAAGTATAAAGGAGGATACTATTGTATGTTACCGATTTTGCAGAGTACCCTTTGGGGTCATTTCGAGTCCATTTTTACTAAATTCCACAGTAAAATTTCATCTTCAAAGCCAAAAGGATAAGATACTAGAGAGGGTTACTAACAATATTTATGTTGACAATCTTGTAATAAGTGTAAAAACACTTGAAGATGGAAGAGAGTTGTACCAAAAAACTAAGAAAGTGTTCAATGACATGGGTATGAATATAAGACAGTGGAATTCCAATAATAAAAAGTTGTTTCAAGAATTTAATGATAGTAAAGAAAACCCAGGTGTGCTTGGACTTGAATGGAATTTTAATAGTGACACAATAGGATTGAAATTGGCAAAAGAAGTATTTGATATTGAAGACAATGAGTTCACAAAAAGAAGAGTTTTAAGTACAATTGCTTCAATATATGATCCTTGTGGGTTTGCCACACCAATAGTTTTGAAAGCCAAAATATTCATGCAAGACCTATGGAAAGCAAAATATAAATGGGACAAGCAGCTACCTGGAGAGATGGTGGAGAAGTGGCACTATATTCTCCAAAGACTGAAACAATTACATAATTTAAATCTACCCAGATTTGTAGGCACACCTTACCATAAAAATGTTGGCAGGTATGAATTGCATTGTTTTACAGACGCTTCGCTACAGGCTTATGCTGCAGTAGTTTATTTAAAAGTGATATATAATGATCATATTCGTATTGCATTTCTAATGGCTAAGTCAAGACTTACTCCAATAAAGGATCAAGACAGTATAAAAATACCACGGCTAGAGCTATTGGGTAGCCTGATTGGAAGCCGTCTACTTAAATATTTAAAAGAAACACTAGAATTGACAATAAGTTTACAATACTTATGGACAGACAGTCAAATAGCCGTCAATTGGATTAAAAATGATAAGCTTTTACCTCCTTTTGTTAGCCGTCGGGTTAATGAAATAAGACAACATGAAGAGGTACAAATATTGTATGTAGAAACAGAAAATAATCCAGCAGATATTGCCACTCGAACTGAAGATCACAGAAGAAAAGACGATTGGTTTCTAGGACCAACATTTTTGTATGAGAAACATACTTACACTGATAACTGGTCATTATCACATGCTTTTTGCGCGGGGGAGGGTCTGAGTGCATCAGAAAAATTAAAAGAAACAACTTCAAGAGAGGTACAGATGAACACAGAACTAGAGGAAGAATCATTTAGAGATAAAAATAAATGCCATGATAATAGTGTAAGCGAGAAAGAAGATACCAAAGAAGACAGAATAAGGAAATTACAACAAAAATACTACCCGAAAGAATTTGCGGGTGAAAGAACAAGTTTAGCTAATTCTTTGGATTTGTTTAAAGATGACAATAATATACTACGGTGCAAAGGAAGACTTAGCAGGACAGAATGGTCATATGATAAGAAATACCCTATATTATTAACAAGAAACTGTGATTTCACATATAAAGTAATACAAAAAATTCATGAAGATAATTATCACACTGGAGTATCACATACACTAAGTAATGTACGTGAACTCTATTGGATACCGAAAGGTAGAAGTCAAGTACAAAAAATACTAAGGAAATGTGCAATATGTATTCGACATGGAGGAGGCCCTTTCAAGTTACCTCCAATGCCACCACTACCAACGAGTAGAGTGACATATTCAAGAGCATTTAGTTATACTGGATTAGACTATCTTGGCCCGGTTAATGTACGAAGTGAAGATGGAACATTAACAAAAAGATGGATATGCCTATTCACCTGCCTAGCAGTACGAGCGGTGCATTTAGAAGTGGTAAGAGATTTAACAGCAGAAGAATTTCTTCTGGCCCTACGCAGAATGATAGCCATGAGAGGTGTTCCTGTTTTGATAACATCTGATAATGCCACACACTTTAAACTATCAGTAGAAGTCTTAACTGGACCATATTGCATAGATAACAATATTACATGGAAATTTATACCTGAATTAGCACCATGGCATGGAGGGTTTTACGAGAGGATGGTTGCATTAAGCACAGTTTAAAAAGGACAATTGAAAAACATTTATTAAATGATAATCAAATGATTACAGTAATTAAAGAAATAGAAATGGTTATAAACACAAGGCCTCTGACATATGTGGGGACAGAATTAGACCATGTGCTAAAGCCTATTGATTTTTTAACACCTGGAGCTTGTGTACAAATACAATCATCTCAACAAGAGTGTACTGAGAAAGGAACACTTACAAAAGTTGATTTAATAGAGAGCTGGAAGCGTGGTCAAATAATATTAAAGGAATTTATAGAAATGTTCACAAACCAGTATCTGGTCAGTTTAAGACAGAGATGGGCTAAGAATAAAGAGCATAGAGTAAAATGTGCCAGAGTTCCGAAGGTCGGAGAAGTGGTTCAAATAAAGGGCGATTCAACAAATAGATTATGTTGGAAAACAGGAAAGATTGTATCGTTGAACATGGGACATGATAATGAGGTTAGAGTAGCTAAAGTAATTGTAGACGGGAAATTATATACTAGGTCGATTGCGCATCTATATCCATTAGAAGTAGAAGAATCGGAGGAAAAGGAAATAGTAGCACCTGAGGAAGCTAACAAAATAAAAGATAAGGCGAAGCAGGATAGTGAGGAAAGAAGTAAAGAAGATAACATGGAAAGGAGAAGCCAAAGGAGCGCGGCGCAAATTGCAAGAAAAAGGATAGAGAGTTGGACTAACCAATTATTTTCGTTTTAAGATTTATGAGTTAATTTGTATAAGGTTTTATAGACAATAAAACAACATTATTAATATTGAATTGATTTTATTTACAGACAACCGACAAAAGTAATAATTAGTAAATATGGCATGACATATAGGTAAATACAATAGGAGAAACAGTAAAATAGAAATAAAATGATGTAAGTAGATAATGAAGATAAATATGAGAATAGCCATTACTGCCGCGGCCGGGAGTGTCGCGAATAGCTAATGTTATTGGTAATTCATAATAAGTATTGGCAACACTAAGTGTGCGCGAGCGAGACGGAGATACAAAGCGGGGAAGAAAAAGTTAGTACGGTGGGGGCACAGGGAACTGTAAGACGGAACGAAACTAGTGTTTTTAGTGAGAGTATGTAAGTGACAACAACAAAGGTTTATGCAGTGAGCAGAAGGGTAAGAAACCCTACGAGATATCTGGTAAGAGATTATTAGTTACTAAGAAACACAAATAACTAACATTGCTGCGTTCCGGAGGCAAAGGGTGGTTGTAAGGGGAGAGGAGGAGACCATCTAAGGGACTTTGTCCCGCCTGGTCCGTCAGCTACTGCTATATATCTGAAGATGTCAGAAGTAGAAGTAGCTGGGCAATGAGGACAGGTTTTAAGTTACAAATTAATAATAAAAGTACACATACACATACACACATAACAACTTTCTTACTCTACAAACAATTATTCGTCTACCATGCACTTGTACGTTTAAATAAAATTATTACCGCGGTAATAAACATTAGTCCGCGACACTCCTCTCACGCGCGCTCTGCGCGCACTCAACACGCTGTCTCTGCACATTGACTTGTTTCAATGCACATTGAATGAATTCACACGGGCCGCTTATTGTATACTATCATAGAAATGTTTATTTTATCTTCGTGTTTGTGTTTTTTATTTTTAGTTTTGTATAATAATTGGATGTATCGTAACTGCTCTATTGTATTAGGTTATACCTGTAATGATAGATGTAAGTGATTATTAAATAAATAAATAAAAATTATTATTGAAATGGAAAAATAAAAAAGAAATCTGTACCAGATCAAATATATGGGCCGAATAATTTTCTAGATTTTTAGTGTTCAAAGGGTGGAAAACAAGCATATGATTTGCCTGATAGGCGGCTAATATACGTTTGAGATTAGCTCTCATTGGCTCTTATAAATCTAGTGCTGTTTACCTAAAGTTAAACCCTTAGGTACCTTGTATAAAGATGTTACTAGAAATAAAACCCCGACCCCGACGAATTGGATTTTTTCTAGTATTTTTTTAAGAAATTAACTGCTTGATGCTTAAATCTAAAGCAAATTTCTTTAGATTTAAGCATCAAGCAGTTACATCCTTAAAAAATAAAAATATAATAATCCTAATGTACTTGCTTTGTCTTAGTCTGTTAGGTTTTTACTTTTCCCAGACGGGTGCTCAAATTCATGGAAAATCCGTAATGTCCTACCTCTCTTAAAATACATAAAAAATTGTCTTTATATTATTATATCAAGGAGCTTGATGCCTAGGGATATTCTATATACATCGATGCATCGAAAACATCGATGTTTGGAATGAAAAACATCAATTCAATCCGATGTTTTGAAAAACTTTCTATATACCTACCCGATGCATCGATGTTTTAAAAAAAACAGCGAATTGGTAATAGACAAGTTTGACCACGTAGTGACTATAATATTCACTTTGGCTTGAACTCAGTAAAAAAACTTAAGTTTGACCACTATTTACTGTTATGAACGCATCATTATTCCGAATTCTCTAATATGGATCCAATGTCGGCAGCACTGCGCAAGAGTCAGTGCAGAGACAACAAAAAAAAAACTACTTATCTCATGTCGGCTGGCGAGCAAGTTTCTATGTTTCGAAACTTTTAATTATATTTGGTTTTGTGAAACAAAATAAGATTGAAGTATATTTCTAATATTCTTTTGACAGGCTTAGCAAAACTGTTGCGGGTTATTTAGTGTTTTTTAATTTGATCTTTTGTAAAATATAATACAGATTTTTCTGATACATGGATTTACTTGTATCAACTTTTACCCACTCATTATGAAAGGAGTTAATTCTATTTTTATGTAAGATTAATAATTAGATAAATTATAATAAACTACCGGATCAAGCTCTTTTCATAAACTTCAATAAAAAAAATATACTATACTGTATTGTACAAAAAGATGGCCGCTTTTGAGATCCACTTTCCACATTAGTTGAGTTTTGTAATCAAATTTTAGAAAAAGTATACGATGTTTAAAAAACATCGATGTTTTCATCCGATGCATCGAACAATGCATGCATAAAAAAAAACGATGTTTTTGTAGAGTGGACACCCCTATTGATGCCTCAAAAAATATAAATAATAAATATAAATGGAATAACTGATACTAATATTATGATGGAGTTCGTGATCCCCACTTAAGGAAACCCTCGTTTAAGGGTAACATGTCGTGAATCTATTTATTATTAATGTGTATGTGCGAAGTCCTTTTCGAATTGTATTCACCATAATGTCTTCTTCGGAGCTATCTTTTAATTCGTAACGGTAGCTTAGTGATTAAGCGTCTAGCACAGCCTATAGTGGTCCATTACACCAGAGATGTACTAGTCCTTTGACTTAACATTGACTTTACATTGTTTAAAAGACATATTAACATAGGTGTGTTTCGGTTTGTAAAAGTGACAACAAGATCAATTCCTAATAAATATCGAATGTTAACAATTTGTATGGTTATAATCATGTCCAATGCAGTGATTTCATTATACGAGTATTAGTGACTATGAAATAGCTTTAACCAATTAGTCAATCTTAACAGAAATATTAGTATTTTTTGGGAAACTTTCAGAATAATAAAATTGCTCTGCTGAATTATACAGATTACATTAAAATTCAGAATTCACTAAGACTTCACCTTCAATTAAGAAAAAGAGTCTGAATATTACGCTATCAAAATATTTGGGTATGATATGGTATTTCAATAGCTTCCGATACAATATCACAGCCAAAGTTGATTAAGGAAAGCAATACAGATAGGGGTTAGGGTGAAGCCAAACGAGCGTAATTTTGTGAGTTGTGAGTCGCTTATTTTCGGTCACTTATTTTACGTTCAACTGAATTTCTGTTGAGTTGCCATATGAACGTAATTTATTCAGTTACTATTGAGCGTTAGTAAGGGGTGTTCGTGTCGTCGAGTGCAATGGATCCATTAAAAATATTGTGTATTTACGAAGCATATTCAGAAGATGAGGCCAGAAAAAGAAACTGGGTAAACCCACTGAATAGTCAGAGGCTGATATGTGGACAGTTCCATACTTTATATGAACGTTTATGTGCAAATCCAGATATGTTTGAAAAGTACTATCATATGCCATTACGTGTTTTTCAAGAATTATTACACCACGTAAAACTTGTAACAAACTGTTGCTTCCCCACTCCCCTTCCTTGCCCTACCCTCACCCCGACCGAAATTCGGACGAGCTTATGCGCATTGAGTCGGCAGACAACTCATTTTGCGTTGTCGTGTGGCACCAACTGCCCATTTGTATGAAACCGAATGCAGCAGAATTTCTGCGACCGAAATTCTGCGACTCACCACTCACAAAATTACGCTCGTTTGGCCTCACCCTTAATAATAACGCGAATTCATGCTCGGATGTGTCCTGCCACAGAGCTCAGTGGGATTGCGGCTGAAGTGTTTTAGTTCCAACTCCATAGCGTTTCTCCTTCTCGCTTTTGCCGGCTTAATTAAGTGTACTTAAGTAATCTACTGTTTAATTAAAAATCTCTATACAATACTTACACTTAATAAGATTCATTTGACGACCTCCGTGGACGAATGGTTTATACCCCGGGTTTCATGGTGTAGCCAACTCGGGAGGAGGTCCCGGCCCGGGTTCGAATCCCGGTGGGGGCAGATGTTTGTGAGATGAATACGAGAATTTGTACTCCAGTCATGGATGTTTAATATGTAATCCTATATAAATATACTTATATATGTACAATATATGTATTCTATCCGTTAACTTAGTATCCCGTAACACAAGCATTATAGTGCTTACTTTGGGGTTGGTGTGAGTGTTGGAAATATTTATTTTTTTATTATTTATTAATTCTAAGAGCAAATAAAAAGCTTTAATTGAAAATACAATAGAATAAGTTATCGATACAACTTTTTCTCTCTGAATTTAAAAGTACTAGTTTACTAAGCTTGCCTCTGCCTGTATATGTCCAAACTCAAATATGATACATGTTGTTAGTATACACTAATTTACTATGTTTTCAGTTTAAATAGCAATAAATCGCACTTCTTTTAGGAACACTTGGAAAAAGGGTCACAAAGGGGAAAATTCTATTTATTTCTAGAAAAGTGACGAGTGAAAAAATGTGGCTATTAAATGCTTTTAAATATTACTTGTACATCAAAAAATTGGCAATATGGCCCGCTTGATGGTAAGCTGTCACCCCGGTCTAAAGACGATTGCGTAGTCAGAGTATCACTCACGCGTTACATACCCATCCCTATAAATTGACTCACCAATAAAAATCCAACACCACCATTAAAGTTACGTAATATTATTATTTAAGTCTGAGATTACTCCCAATACAAGGCGATCCAAATCGAGCGGAAAACCTTACCTACTGCACCTTACCTCTTTTTTGAAATATTTTATAAAAAAAAAGTACTCTTTAAGTTTAATAGAAAAAGTTTCGCAAAAGTCTCTATTCTACTTTTATATAACCAGTAAACGCTATCTGCGATTGTCTATAAACATAAATGTGCGACGGACGCCATTTACATTCGAGAATCCTTTGAAAGTATAAGATATACGCTATTACTTTTCGTTACAGGCTAGTTGACTATCATAGTGTATAACAAAGGGTGTAGTATAGTATAGTCTAGTATTTCGTAGTATTCAAGAAAGTTTCATTCAAGAAGTGTCGCAGTATATAGATACTGCCACACTTCTTGAATGAAACCATTT